TATCTTAATTGTTACAAATTGGTTAAATAAATATATGGCTTGTTTAGTTTTCAAGAAGTATATAAAGAGCCTTATCCTCAAGAGAGAAGATAAGTTTGGTTGTGACTTGTGAGAATACAAGAGAAAAGAAGAGATGGATGGGCTAAGCCATATCGGACTCCCTGTTCTTGGGATTGTCGCAGTCGCAGTCGTCACTTTCTACGCCGTTAGCTTCGCCGAGATCAGAGAGGTTCGTCATCTTCATGCTTTCTCTTCGTTTCAATTCCATTAGTAGAAAGAAAGAAACCTCTCACTAGAGAATAATCATGTTCGGTCTGAAAGTTGATCTGATTAGTGTCTGTGTGCAGAAATCGTTTAAAGATTTGTATGACTCGGAGAATGGAGACGGAGCTGGGTTCAAGACTTCACTTAGTTCCAGAGAAAGAAGATTGAAAAGAGAAGCAAATAAAAAACGTCCTCGATCTTGAAATATATATCCCAAATTCTCCAATTTTTATATTTTTGCCATTTTAAATCTCTCAACTCATAAAGCTTGTGATGATGTTCACAAAAACTCCCTGTGTCTCCATTTCTGAAAATTTTACTGTAATTTCTCCAGAAGAATGTGGTAACAGTGAAGAGAAACTTTGGCATAATTATCCGATTCAATAGATACAACATACGAATTCACATTGAGTACATTCTAGATAATACCTCCGAAATCTTCTGTTGCAACTATTGCAAGTGATTTCAATGAAGATATACGTCGAGGTGGTGATGAATAGAGGATGTTCATGGCTTTTATGAGTGAAGTTTTCAGGCACTAGAATGCAGCGAACATCTAGTCAAAAGAAGAGTCTGCAACTACCTTTCGTACACTTGTACTTGAAACCACTGTTTGCGAGAACAAGCTGAACATTTACTGAAGGAGAAGGGTCTAGGACAAGTGGATGAATGTGCAACGCATGGTCTAATTTTCGAGGAAGATTGGCACATACCTCGTGGAGAAAGAAATCGCATTGCACACAATTGTAGAAATCATGAAATCCAATAGGAAGGATTTGTTGATGATCTAAATTACCTTTCATTATCCTTTTTTTCCTTTGGCAACAATCCATTGAGTCTCTAATTCAAATACCAAGGTATGCTATACTAAATCTATTGATTTCTGGTTAATTTTATCTCACTGGAACTAAATATTAAATCACAATGTAGACATCAATCAATCAATGTAAAACAAATTCTATTATTTTATCTTTCTTACGACAACAAAATTATAGCATTTGTAGTATAATATGTTTGCTCATCCATATTAACAATTTCTTAACTCTTATGTTATATTCTACCTTTAGAATCAAACCATTAAATTTGTTATCAAACTTGTATCCTAGGATGCCAATAGCATAAAAGAAAATAAATTTGATGATATTTAATGTTAAGATTATCAAATCAAATTCAATGTTTCCAATTTGCTTGTAGCTTTAATATCCAATTATTCATATGTTTTATTTTACCCTTTTAAGAATTAGATGGAAACGTTTGTAAAAATAGAACAAAATGAACTTTAAAAACAGAAATTTCCTATCAAAAAGAGAAATTTAACTTGTACTAAATGTTTTATAAAAGTTCTCTATAAACAAAAAAAAAAAGTTAATAATTTTATATGTTGACATGAACAATAGTTGTTGGTTTTTAAAATTCTATGTGGACCTTAGCATTAAGTAGCTTCAACTTTTGTTCCTACTAATAAAATTTGACAATTATTGATGTAAAGATTGTCAAGTAGTCCAATTTGCTTGTAGCTTCAATTAAATGGAAAATTTTGTTAAAATATAACAAATCAAACGTTAAGAAAAGAAGATTTTTCAGTTAACAACAAAAATAACTTATACTAAATGTTTTAAATTGGAATTTTCTACTAACAACGAAAAGAAAATTAACTTAATTCTAAATGTTAATATGGCTGAGAATTTATTGGTCGTTTAAAATCTTACGTGGACATCATTAGAAACTAATAGCATGGAATTTTCTTAAATTTGACTAATAATTCTCATCAAACATATTTTACTGAGTTGAAATTTTCTAGGATTTTGCTATATATATTTTAAAAATCATATGCTATAGTTTTATAAGACTTTTACTCTTGAAATTTGTTTAGACGATTTCTAATCAAATTAATTTTTGAGAAAGATTCAATAAAATATTATTGAATAAAAGATTATAATATTTTTTATATATATTTAGTGAAATCATATGTGAACAATAACACTTATGTTTAGTTAAAAAATTTCGCTCCTATAATTAGTTTTAATATAAAACTATTTAATTATCTCTTAATCATAATCATCGATATACCATTCATTCACATCATTAGGAATTATCTTTCCAACATTAACATGTTTGTTAAAGTCAAAACACTT